CAGGGTTATTTCTTCTTGTTGGATTGTTCCCTTTAGTATTATGAAGTGGCCTTCATTATCTCTTATTATGTCCTTCACTCTGAGATCTAATTTGTCAGATATAAGTATTGCTACCCCAACTTTTATTTCATTTCCATTTGCCTGGAAAACTTTTTTCCATCCCTTCACCCTCAGTCTGTGTGCATCTTTTTTTCTGAGGTGGGTTTCTTGTAGACAACAGATGTATGGTTCTTGTTTTCTTATCCAATCTGTTACCCTATGTCTTTTGATTGGAGCATTTAATCCATTTACATTTAAGGTTATTATTGATAGGTACTCATTTGACGCCATTTTTATTCTATACTGGTGTTCCTTCTTCACTTCTTATTTCTTTATTTTTACAGTAGACCCTTTAGCATTTCTTGCATTGCTGGTTTGGTGGAGATAAATTCCTTCAGTCTTTTTTTGTCTGTGAAGCTCCTGATTTCCCCTTCAGTTTTGATTGATAGTCTTGCTGGGTACAGTATTCTTGGATTCAGACCCTTCCTTTGCCTGACTTTGTATATTTCATCCCATTCCCTTCTGGCCTGATAAGTTTCTGTTGAGAAATCAGTTGCTAGTCTGTAACTTTCTGTCTCTCTGGCTGCTTTTAAGATTCTTACTTTGTCGATGTTGTTTGCCTATTTTATTATAATGTGCCTTGGAGTCTGTCTACTGGGATTCACTTTGCTTGGGACTCTGCGAGCATCTTGGATTTGTGTGGTTTTTTTCTTCTCTATTTCAGGAAAGTTTTCTGTCATTATTTCTTGAAATACTTTTTCCATGTCTACCTCAGTTTCCTTTCCTTCTGGAACCCCTATTATTCGAATATTATTTTGTTTTGTATTGTCCCAAAGCTCTCGTAGGCTCTCCTCCTGCTTTTTAATCTTTTTTTCTAGAAGTTGCTCTACTTGGGTATTTTTTTCCATCTTATCTTCTAGCTCACTGATGCGGTCCTCTGCTTCCTCTAGTCTACTCTTGATGCTTTCTATTGAGTTCTTCATGGTAGCGATGTCATTTTTTATTTCTTCTTGGTTCTTCTTCAGTTCCTCATGGCTTTTCTTCAGTTCCTCATAGTTCTTCCTCATTTCTTCTTGACTATTGTCAAATTTCTCTTCCATTCTTTTTAGCCATCCTATGATCATTACTCTGAATTCTTGCTCTGGTAGGCTGCTTGCCTCTGCCTCGTTTACTTCTTTTTCTGGTGATGCCTGCTTTTCTTTCATGTGCGGACTATGTTTTTGTCTCCTCATGGACTCTCTTTTCAGGATGTCTGGTTATGTGTTATTCCTTCTCCTGTGTTGATTTAAAGGTACAAAATCCAACACTACCAGGTACAACACAAGAGGCACTTAACAGGAATGAATTTACAATATTAATAACCTCTAATAAAGGTGACCACTAGAGACAGGCAACTTAGGGGATAGGAGAGAAGGAAGAAAGGTAAAAATAAAATAAAGAGAAATTTAAAAAAATAAAAAAAATTAAAATTAAAAAAAAAATTAAGTAAATAATAAATAATAAAAAAGAGGGATAAAGAGATAGAAAAAAGAAGTAAAAAAGCAATGACAAAATGAAGTTGGAAAACAGGGAAATAAAGGAGAGAGAGAGAGAGAGAGAAAGAGAGAGAGAGAGAGAGAGAGAGAGAAGAAGAAACTAAAAGAGAAATGGGAAACCAACTATATATATGTGGAGAAAATTGCCATAGAACAACCTCTGAACCCAGCCAATGCCAGTAACAATACTTGGAGATTAATACAAACTACAGTATCCACTATTATTAAGTAAGGCTATAATATACAGAAATAAAAGAAACACACAAAAACAGGATTTAAAAAAAAATACAAAGCAACAATAACAATACAGGAATAAGCATAACAATTTCAGTAAAAAGCATAAAAATTCACAATAATCAACCTTCACACAAACAATGCAAAAAGGATAGAAAGGAGAAGTTTTTTTTTTTTTTTTAACTAGTTAATATAGTGCAGAGATTGGTATTTATACACTTGGATCAGGGGTTGGAACTTAGGTCTATAAGTATAGTGAGAGCTTTTGCAGGGGATATACAGAAAGAATAGAGGAAAAACTAAAGCCGGAAAGGGATAGGATAAACTATAGACTAAAGGGTGAAGTTTAGTAAGAGAGTGATGGTGTAAAGGTTGAGTTGAGATAGGGTTGAATGATGTTCTAGTAGAGATTAAAATAGAATGAAGGTTACTCCCAATGTAAAATAAAGAAAAAATAAAATGGTACTGGAGAGAAAAAAAGGAAAAAAAAAAAAAAAAAAGAAAGAAAAATTGCAAAATAGCAGTAGAAATAGTGATGATAGAGATTGAAAAATGTAATAATTGAAAAGGTAAAATCAAGTAAGGAAAAAATAAAAAAAATTGTTTCTTAAATAAAAGATATCAAAAATGAAAATTAAATAAAAGCTGTAAAAAATGAAAATTAAATAAAGAATAGTGAAATTAGCATAAAAATGTCCAGTGGTCATTCACTTCCTCAGTTAATGTATTTGGCACTCCTGATTCTCGGACCAGACAGTCTTGCAGTTCCCAGCATTCCACTGCACCTCAGTTTTGTAAGGTAATCCTTAATTTTAAGTAGGCTATATCTTAGTTATTAGTGTCCATTTATTTTTGATTAATTAAAAGAAAAGGAAAAAAAAAAAAAAAGGCAGTTTGTAATTCAGCTCTTAGGTGTCAGTGTTTCCAGTTTGACCTCCCAGTCTTTTTGGTTGCTCTGGCCTTCTTTCTCTATGGTGCCAGCTGGCTCCCAGACTATCTCTTCTGGCTCTGATCCCTTGTTTCCAGGAAGGCAATTTCCCCCTGCAATTTCCCCGGATATGCCCAACTGGGCAGTCCTTCCCTAGTACCATATTTTTCGGACCATAAGACACTCTGGACCATAAGACACACCAGTTTTTAGAGAAGGGAAATGAAGAGAAAAAGATTCTGAAACAAATAGTGTCCTAAAATATTTTATGTGCATTAAAACCCAACATCACAGTCATAAACACATGTAATCAACCCTGTAAAGTAAACAGCAGCATTTGGAACCATTTTAGAGCTGGGCAAGCACACAGAGACCACACAGAGCCGGGCAAGTAAAAAAACTTTTTTTTTAAAGTATACGTGTAGGTTATATTTGGACCATAAGACGCAGGGACTTTTCCCCCCAATTTCTGGGGGTAAAAAAAGTGTGTCTTATGGTCCGAAAAATATGGTATTTCGAAGCTAGGGGGTGAAGGGGATCAGGCGCCAAGGTGTCCAGATGTTCTGCCCTTGGCAGGACAGCTGCGGTTCTTAACACTATGTCCCATGTCCCCTGGCATTTTTTAAAAAAGAATTCCCGCTTCTGGGAGGCTTATGTCAAACCCAGCACTAGGTGTCGCTGCAGCCTTCTTTGGGCTCAGCTCAGCAGGCGCTCCCCCCTACAGTGGAGGCGGGGCCTCGCCGGAGCTCCGGCTATGTCTGCCTGTGCCACGGGACCAGGAACCCTCAGGCTATCCCCGCAAACTCTGACCTTTCCGTGGGTGACCGAAGAACTCCCTTGAATCCACGTGTTTGCGCTGATTCGGGCTTCTCAGCTGCTCGATGGACCTCTCCGCTGGGGTTTTCCAGGCCTCAGAGAAGCTACTCCTTTCCTGGTAAGGTGGCGCAGACTTCTCTCCGAGCCGCAGCCCGCAGCTCGCCACGGCCGCCACCACCGCCGTGGCAGTGCTGGCCACCCAGCCAGGAAATCCTGTCCAGCGGACAGCTCCCTACCTTCCTTGAGAACTCCACAGCCCCTCAGCTGCCAATCAACATTCCCTGAGCAACTCAGAGGCTACTTTTATCTGTTCTGGGACCAGAGTCAGAACAAGTCCGACTGTTCGGTCGCCATCTTCAAGCTCTGCCCCCTATTATAATTAGTCTTAATTATTTTGTTTGTTTTGGTCATATTTTGCGTTTTAGCCTTAAAACCAATAGATAAGTACAAAAAAATAGTGTTATATTCTGTATTGCTTTTTAAGAAGCAGCATATCTATCTTTTCTGAGTGGAAAATACTTGCATTACTTTTGGCCAGGGGCAAGGTTCTGTTTTTTATAAAGTTAACTTTTAAATCCTAAACATAACTAAGGTGGTACTTAGAAATACAATGAAAATAGAAGATATCTGGAGATATAACTCTGAAAAATCCATAGAAGTGAGAGCAAAATAATTCAATGAAGTATTACAGAGAAATAAGAAAATAAATGGAGAGAATCAGAGTAGAAAAAAATAATGGCCATGAATGAAGACACTGATTTTAAAAGGTAATAATCAATAGTTTCAAAAGCCACAATGGTGACAAATAAGAACAAGACTAAAAGTATGCAATAGATTTTCAACTAGAATTTTGGACTTTTGGAAGTAAGCTAACAGATGATAATGATGGATAATTAATTTTTAATTGAAAAACATTTCAGAAGAAATTTCATTTCACTTTTCTCTAAGATTCTCTTATTTTATGCAAAAGAACTTATCGTGTATATATTTTTTATTACTCAAGCAATTATTAAAAGAGTATTAGAGATAGCTATTACTTTTTATTGGGCATCTTACATCCTGAGTGCTGTTACATGTTTTATATATATGTATATATAATATTAAATAGTATTTAACACAATAAATTAAATATTATATTTATATATTTTATAGATGGGCAACTGGGTTTAGAAAGCTTAATTCAAAAGTTACACATAGAGTAAATGACTGAAAGTTAACATAAAACCTGGTTTCTGCTCACTATAACAAATTGTTTGAGAAAATTAATATCCCTTTCAGGAACAATTCTGAATCTTCTTTACTATTTTTTCTAACAGGAGTTATTTCCTCAAGAGAAAAATAAAATCTAGGAAAATAAAAAGAAGATAGAAAGAAAAGCTTTAGGAAACTACAAAGAAGACAGGAAAATTTTTAAATTGTGACTTTTCCCCCCCCAAACCAAATCTACAAGTCAATTTTGAAACACAACGATATATGTTATCAGAGAGCTTAAAAGATAGAAATTAGAAACTATCAAATACTTTATTTAAAGTATCTGTTGTCCATGGAATCCAGCTAAAAGTCTCTACCAGTTACTAAAACATCCCTACAGATCAATTGCTTTCAAAAAGACCTACTACTGTCACAAAATGGTGCCACTAACATATTATGATCAACAATTTGCATCTTTAGAACACTCTTATCAACTGGCCTCAACGAACTCATTAACACATCAGTACATAGGAGAAAATCTAAATCAACCCAATAATCAATCTGTGGTTATAGTACAATCTGATAATAATTACCTGGCAGCACCTCCACTCAGCTCTAACCAGAAGATACAGAGATCTTTTGCCAAGGCTCAGTACCCAATTTCACAGGGCTTCTGTAACGGAGTTCTGACATCACCAGTACCCCAGCGCAAACATCAGGATTCACCCTCAGGAGACGTCCACCAGAGAACTTCATTGCCGTCTATTTGGAAAACTCTGAGCTCACCTTTATCCCTCCCCAAACCTCAGGCCTCTTCACTGGATCTCAACAAGACATCATCATCATCATCATCATCATCACTGGAACCCAATCAAACAACCTTGAGCTCACAATTATCTCTCCCCAAACCTCAGAATGCAACTTCCTTAGACCTTTGCTGGACATCACCTGCACTGAAGTCTAATAAAAGAGTCTCAAGTTCATCATTATTCCCCATCAAGTATCAAGAAACTTCTTCCCAAGACATCCTCTGGACATCTTCATCTTTGAAATCTAATCAACGAGCCCTTAGCTCAACATTACCTCAGTCCAAGCCTCAGAAATTATCTTCCTCGGACAGCCTTTGTATGTCTTCCTTAGATAAGCAACAAAGATCTTTGAGCTTACCATCACTTACCTCTATACCTCAAACAAATGACTTGCTGCAGTTATCACCTTCATTGCAGCCTAATCAAATGGCTTTTAGCTCACCTTTACCTGATTCCAAACCTCAGACAAAACCTGCAGTGAGCCCTAATTCTTGTGTCCTGAGCTTACCACCGTCTAACTCAAAACCAAGGAGATCACCTTTACTACAGCAGACTCAGAGTTTGCCATTGTTCCAGCCCAAATCCCAAACAGTGCTTATACAGGATCATAACTTCAGGACCCTGGGTTCACCAGTTAGTAACTCCAAGTTTCAAAGCACCACTTCACTAAATGGCAAACACAGAGTCACAGATGTGTCTTTACCCCATCTCAAACCAAATATCTCAGGTCAATCATTATCGAGATCCAAACACTGCACCAGGAACACAGCTGCTACAGCACGGGGCTCCAGAATCCAGAGCAAAAGCCACTTGGATCATTATGCAAAGAAATATTCAAATAAAGAAATTCCATGGCCTTTAGATTATATTTATCCTTGCATTGTTAAAGGTGGGACTGTCCCTGATAATGTTGTAAATAAAGTTATCAATTCTCTCTCTAAGACCAGAATCCAAAGGGATCTCAGTAGGCAAATTATCTTTCGAAGAATGAGGGGAAGGCCAAATCCTCATCCTGGTCCCCGTCTTTCATCAAATTACGTGGTTTGTTTGGCTTGTGCTTCCTGCATAAAAACTCATTGTAATCATCTTACAGGAAAAAGAGATCCTCGTGGTGCAATGCTATCTGTCATACCAACACTTGAGCCCAGTTCTGAGGGGAAAATCGAGGTGAAATTAGTTTTTATTCTTTCAGTACCAGAGACTTCTTTCTCATCTTGTCTCCTATTGCCTGTGAAAAAAAAACAACCTGAGGAAGCCCTTAAAGACAACCTTGAAAAAATGGAGAAGATATCTGAGTTTTTCCCTACTAAAACTGATAACATCCAGGGGCTGAAGGTAGTCTCTGAAAACAAAGTTGTAAGCCAACAGCCCCAGGCTATTGACTGGTTGCTTTATGTTAAGAAAAGTAATTCTCAGACACAGAGTAGGCTCCCATCATCTTCCTCCTCCATATCTTTCTCTTCCTCCTCCTCTTCATCTTCTTCCTCCTCTTCCTCTTTGATTGCACCCTCCTTACCCTCTCCTTACATAGAGTCTGTGCCATCTACCCCCTCAGGTTCTATTTTCAATAAGTTAGTTAGTTACCACCGTTTGCCTCCAGGGGTCTCCTGGCTTGAGTTTATATGTAGCAAAAATTACCAGCTACTTTCTGGAAAAAGACAACAAAGTCACCTGCCATCTACCAACACAAATCCTATGAGGAATAGCACCATAGTGAAAGGGCCAAAGGGGTCAAAGATACTGTTCAAAATTTTCCAGGCACAGTGAATGAGAGAAATCTTGATTAAATTAATGTTTTATATCTTTGAAAGCAATTGACCTTTAGTTCTTTGAGACTAGAGTTTGATTTCTTATCACGCTTCTTAAAATTCTTGGTTATGACTGAATGGGACTCAATATTTCAATTGATGATGCACCCAGTTAAGGGAACTATTACTCTTAAGTCTATTTCCTGGTTAAGTAATAAACTACAATCCCTAGAAATCAAAACTGAATCTCTTGTTTGTAACCAAATGCCTAGCTTATAATAGCTACTATATAATTATTGTTAATCATAATTGGCTATTGAGGAGAAATGCCTTATTAGTCTTTTTTCTTTTTCTTTTCTGTGCCTCCCGGTTTTCTCATATGCAATTCTTTTTTTTAAATTACTCATTTATTGCTTGTTATAATTTTAAATCACCTTTCTAGACTATTATTGAGTTTAGTAATTCAAACAAATCTAAACTTTAAATTTAAATAATTACCTTAATGTTTTGTGTGTGTTTTTCCAGTTTTTTTTTTTATTATTTCAGGAAAAACAATTTTAAATATGTTACATGCAATAAACCTTAATATTTTAAGAAAAAAATGATTTTAAATATGATAATGTGACATGCAATAAACACCAATTATTCAAAAACTGATTTTATAAAAATAATATTACATGCAATAAACATTAATATTTTAAGAATAAAAAGGTTTTAATTGTGATAATATTACCCAAACTGTACTAACATAGTATATCACAAAAGTTGTAGGAAATATTAAAAAATCTGCAAATAAAAGGATTAGTTCTATTATATTCTAGAATATTTCCCCCCTATGGCTCTATACTTGTTCCAGTTTATGTTCTTTATTATATGCCACAAATGAGATAATATGATATTTATCTTTCTCCAACTTGCTTATTTTGCTTACCTTTTAAAGTCTATTTTGTCTGATCTGAGTATTGCTACACTTGCTTTTTTTTTTTTCTTTTCCATTTGCATGGAAAATTTTTTTCCATCCCTTCACTTTCATCTTGTGTGTGTCTTTTGTTTTGAGGTGGGTCTGTTGTAGGCATCACATAGTTGAGTCATGTTTTTGTATCCATTCAGCTACCCTACACCTTTTGTTTGGAGCAATATAATCCATTTACGCTATTATTTATAGTTACTTATTTCTCAGAATAGTCTCTAGCCTATTCTCTTTCCCCATAAGATAGGATAACAGTTTCCTTAAGCCATTTATGTTAATCTGTTTTCCTATTTCTAAAGATTTTTCAGACAATTTTAATAGGTAAAAATATATGGGGAGCATAATCTTTTCAGTTATATGTTACTAGGGAAAGTTCTTTTATGCTAAGGTCCTATATTCTGAAATCCAAATGATTTATTCAATCTTAGTTAACAAATTTCAGGAGAGAATAGCTAACTGGTACAGGTAATCCTATCTCATGCTGACTGTGCCAATATTTAAATAAGAAGCTCTAAAATTAATCACTTGCAAAGTGGGTCACTAAAAATGTTTTAAAAATGTCTTTGTTCCATTGGGTCTACTAGGAAGAGAAGGAAGTTGTCTTACCTACTCACCTTAAGTTATTATCTGCATCTCCAATGGCTGGAGTTAGGATTTCCTGCATACAATGATAACTCACATTTCTGCCTCTCCACTCCACATCTTTCAGGTCACCAGACTACATAGTGGGCATTTCCAATTGGAACACTACACAGGCATTTCAATCTCAACCTGGCCAAAACAAAATTTGTCATCTTTATATTCCAATTTACATCTTACGTGTAGAGTTCTTTACCCCTATGTTCTCAGATTCAGTTTGTGTATCATCACCCATCAGAGAGTCATTGCCAGCTCCTCTCCAAGTCCATGAGTTCTATGGTTTTATTATTTCTAGACTTTAGTCTTTCCTTTTCAACCCCATTGTCACTCTACTAGTTGTCACAGCCATTTATAACCTGGAATTACTACAGTAACCCTTAAACATGCACTGTAATTTTTGAATGCATTTCTAAGACACTGATTTGATAATGTTGCTCCACTACTTATTTTTTTTAAATATATTTTTATTGATTTTTTACAGAGAGGAAGGGAGAGAGATAGAGAGCTAGAAACATCGATGAGAGAGAAACATCGACCAGCTGCCTCTTGCACACACCCTACCAGGGATGTGCCTGCAACCAACGTACATGCCCCTGACAGGAATCGAACCTGGGACCTTTCAGTCCGCAGACCGACGCTCTATCCACTGAGCCAAACTGGTTTCGGCGCTCCACTACTTATAATCCTTTCATTATTGCACATTGTTTTTTGTTTTGTTTTGTTTTTTGTTTCTGTAGGAATGTCTAAATTGTTTGTGATTGAATTATTATTGACTCGCAAGACTGATTTCTTATTATTCAGTCTCCTACTGGATGCTTCAGCCATACTAATTTCTTTACAATATATAAAATATACTAAGTCCTCTCTTACATTGTACTTTTAAATCAATAGTTCTGCTGTTCAGAAAGGACTTTCCATCTATTGGTTTTTATCCTGCGTGGCTCTATTTTGTCTTTCTTGACATTTTCTGGGAAGCCTGGTTCTGATCCATTTACAAAGCGGTTAGTTGGCTTTCCTATTACCATGAACTTTATGTTAACTCTTTGTACTTTTCAATAACATTATAAAGCAATCATTTATTGTCTATTTTCATTTACCAGGCTGAAAACTCCTTGTTCACTATTTCTGTTTTTTGTTTTTTTTTAAACCTAGTCTTCTGAATAGAGTAATATCCTAAAATATGTGTGTTGATATTGAATCAGTACTATTGAAGCTTTTCATCTTTTTCAATTCTCTGAAATATGTTTTATTTCATCAATCTGCTTCTTTCCCATAAGATTAATGTTGACTTGTTCCTTGTACCTTTTGAGAACATACATAAAAATGTTACTGATGACAGCAGTCATCCTTATCATATTTCTTACATTAAATGTGTTCCTTCTTATTATTCAATATTAAATATAATATTGGCTGAATGCATAGCTGATCAGTGATGATGAAAAAGAACACATATATGTGATAATGTTTTCAAGGCTTTCTCCAACTTCTTTAGGAAATCTTTGAAATGCGCCTTATTCATCCCAAACTTCTCTTTTGTGGCATATGTCATTTTTTATAATTATTAGTTTAATATATTCTATACTAGATTAAATATGGATGGAGGTCCTTTGTCTATCTTGCTAAGAACCTAGTGGTAAATGACACCAAATATTCAATAAATATCTATGGAATTAAACTGAAGAATTCAACTGATTTATATTCAATTTTCTATCTTGCAGGTTATTTCCTAAAGTTGATACCTCATTTAGTTTCTATTAATTTTAAAAATTATTTTTGTTTTATGATTTAGTTGTTCTTAACTTCTCTATTGTATTGGCAGTTATTTATCATATTCCTAATTATAACAGTGTTTACTTTCAAAAAAATTTCAAAAGAATTCTTTAATCAATATGTTTTAATTTTCTAATTTGGAAATAAAATCACTTGAAACCTATGGGAAAACGCATGAGTAACAAATATCTAATTCTCTTCCAGCTTGTATGGATACCAAAAAATTATTAAAAATAGAAAATAATATGCCAGAAAGATTAAGAAATTTCTGTCAGATGTTGTGCAGATGAGATCACATTTAAGACAGGCAGAAGTATTCAAAAATCACTACTTCATTTAAAGAAAAAGATAATCTGAAAAGTAATAGAAAAAATATGAAATAGAAAGAGCTGACCATGAGAATATAATACATATCAATTGGGAAATAGAAAGTGGATCCTATGAATTGTTACTTTTGATATGACCAATTGATGTAAAGTTGTATGACATAGCTGGATGATAATTTGACGATAACATCAAAATCTTAAAAAATATACATAACTACTATTCTTATGGTCATTTTCCTTGGAATTTATTTTTTTAAATTATCATGACTGTGTAGAGTTATATAAACAAGTAAGCATTGTGTTTCTTTATGATACAAAAGGATTGGAAAAAACCTAGATGTTCATTTATTGAAAAGTGTTTTTTATACATGATCCCTACATGATATATAGGATCCATACATGTATGTTTTTCCTAATGAAAAAAATTGTTGCTTCTTTTATTTCACCTATATTTATGTTAGGACTAGAACTGCCTTCTTTAGGAAAATATCTTGATAACAACCCTTGGGCATGGATAATGATATTGAGCATATGTTGGAAGAAGAAAATAAAGAAGATACAGCTAAACTGTGTTTAAGATTTAATGTGTTAGAAAAAGAGAGAAAATATATAATTTATGATTTGTTTTAAGTAAAATTATAAAACAAATCACATACAGTTTTTATATGATTTCACCATTGAAATTATATGTTTGTGTCTGTATGTTTTTGTGCTCACCCCTGTGTATACAACCATCCAGCATCCTAAGCGTATCTTGCACTCCCCAGCAGTAATTGCTGACATGAATTTGATGTCAATCTCATTCGCCTTTGTTTAGAAATTTATAAAATATTTATGGGGCCACCACAACATAGTCTTTTGTATGTTTTAAAGCTTTGCATGTTTTTAACATGTTAATAATGTGTGCTTTTATATAGAATGTGTTTTTGAGATATTTTTATTATAACATATAGATAATTTATTTTCATATAAATGAAAATATGTATATATAAAACATACACATATATACATGTATATTATATAATTGCATAGAGTGAATTTATTATAATTTATTCAGTTTTGGGTTTAATAGTTCATCTTTATTTTTTATTATCATATGCAATATTGCATTGACATTCTTTTAAAAATTATTGACGTATAATGATGTAACTATGTTATTGTTCAAGTGTATAACATAATGACTTCTATTTGTATATATTGCAAAATGACCACCACAATAAGTCTAATTGACACCCATCCTCATACATAGTTACAAACATTTTTTTCTTGTGATTAGAGCTTTCAAATATGGAATACAGTATGATTCACTATAGT